CAAACTTAGGTAAATTTTTGTTCGGGCAAATTTTATTCTGCTTCAGCTCTGAATATTCCAAGATATAAGTGTTTTAACTGCCATTTAGACCTCGTACAGTTATATTCTTGAGTTGGACTTAAAATTTTATGATATGGTCTCGTGTAGACTTTGTTAATTATTAACAAAGACTTGTATTAACTGAAGAAAAGTACAAACAAATAAAAATTTCATTTCCATCATATTATCTCTTCCTTTGTCTCTTATTAAGTATACAAATAATTAAAAAAATGTTGCACTTTTAAAAGGGCCTGGTAACTAGTCAAAATATAGGCTCTCTTTTACTTTTTTTTGCGTATGGAGGGTTGCCGAGAGGAAAAAAAATCTGCGAATTTGAACAGCATCTAGCATTAAAACAAAAAATGTACTCGACTTTTGATGGGAGAAAATCGTTAGCATGGAGCAAATTTTTTCCCGCCAAAAGACTTAGTATATTTTCTGTTCAAAACTAGACACAATTCAAAAGCACAGCCTTTTTTTTCCGTACACAATTTTCCCGCCAAAAGACTTAAAAATATTAACGAAAAATTTTTTTAGCTTCTCTATAATTCTGCTGATGGGAAGATTTTCCTACCAAAAGACATCATTTTTATGAAATTTTGTTTTAATTGCGGTTGGCCTTTTAAAAGCGCAGAATTTCCCCGCAAACACCGTTCGTCTCTCCGCTATTTCTTTCCTAATCAGTTGGAGCGTGACTTAAAATAAGCTTTATTTCAGTAAACAGAATTCTTGCGTCCACAAGTATTATCTTTTCTTGAATTTTCTTAAATCTTCTTGCTTCCTATGATCTTGAAATCTTTCAAATCTAAAGATATAAAAAATTATTCAGTAACAGTACCTTTTGTATACTCTGAACTAAGCTAATCACTAAGCCATATATTGAAGAGATTTTCTTCTTGCGTTGTTCCCCCAAGTGGTAAGCCATAACAATTATGCTAGATTGATTTTCGAGTTCCATACGGTGACGACCAAATCTCAAATTTTAAGGAATCTTTAACACATTTGGGAGAGCTGAATACAAGGTGTACAAATGTTAACAATTGCCAAAATATTTTCCCTGGCCTGAAAAATATATCTGCGCGTCTTCAAGATGGGTTAGACTCGACGAATGCAAACACCATTTGCAGCTGAAGAGACTATTCTCATTCTTTACATAATTGTTAAATATTTCATTTTTTCTTTTAATTAAGAGGAGGGTAATTTTCTAACAGTAAAATGACTGGGACAAAACTAAACGACCCTGTTTTCCGTAAACAAACAATAAAATGACATTGATAAATGTTAGAACGGTTTTCATAAATACTTTTAAAAGGAACCAATCGTTATGAAGCGACAGAATATCTAGGGCAAGAAGGTGTAAACTGCAACTGTATACATACAACTGTTGCTCAAACCATAATTGAGCAAATACTTCATTTCTTTTTTCAATTCAGACCAAAACTTTCTAACGAATTCTTCTTGAGAACTTTTAACTCTTCTTTCACGTTTCCTTCCCACTGATCAATCTCCCGATTAGGAGAGAATTCGGCAAGATTTCCGCAAAGCCTCATACTTCATTATGTTTATAAAGTAAAGAAGAGTTCCCATGTCGGATGTAAGTTAGAATTTTATTATTTTGTCGATAATCAGTTAAAATTTTCGATCCTCGTCGTTTGTCAGTAAATCTCAGTTTGTCATTAAAAAGCAGGTAAGTAAGTTTTATTACAGAAAGTTCTGTAATTAACTGAAACTTGAATTTAAAGTGGCTGCCTCCTTAACTAGGATGCTCTTCTTTCTGAATACAGATATCGGTAATGTCGGACGTTGGTTAGTATTTGCTTGTCGTTAATCGGTATTTTTTTTTTTTGCGTTTTGTCGGTAGTCAGTTCTATTTCTTGCCCTTTGCCGTTAATCGCTTAACCCATTCAGAGTAGGATAAAGAGAAAACAATGGCAGCAAAATGAATTACCTTTGAGACGGGTACCACACTTTTGTTTTAGGATACTTTAGTGTGGGGTTATACAGAAATCTCACCGGCGAGAATCCTTTTTAAATTGAGAGTGAAAACTTAAATTGACTGCGACAAACATTAAGAACGATAGTATTCACCGTCTCTCATCTCTCATAACACTTGGAAAAGGAAAAATAAAAATAAACTGACCTGTACTGACTGTATCTGTTTCCATGGACTTCATTTTGTTTCTGATCCATTGTTATCCTTCTTGTTAGATGATTAATTACCTTAAAAGTGACAAAGAAACTATTTCAATGGCGATGATCAACCAGTAAAAATCATAACAGAGTCGACTTGGCGTTTCACCACACATCAATTATTAAGTGTTCTGCGTAGTGGCGGGCTAGCTCTGTAAAAAAAATCGAAAATTTATGAGAATTTGTTTACGGGAAGGAGGGGCATGATTCAAATCTATCTTTCATGAAAATAGTCATTCCTTAAAGTTTTCATTTTGCTTCTATGACATTAAAGATGAATGTATCAGAGTAGCCTGCGTACAACTGGGTAATTTCTTATTATCAACTGATCTGAGTTGATACCGTAAATTGGCCACCGTGAAGAGTTTCGAAGACGACGTTTCGAGCGTTAGGCTTCGTCAGAGCGATCGTTAATCGCTCTGACGAAGGGCCGACGCTTCTCGCAGTGGTGTTAAATGGTACGAAACTGTTTTTTTTTTTTTTGTAGTTTTTAAGACGGTCACTGAACTCCAAAATATTCAGTACCGGAAATATTGCCTACTTTTACTCACATCTTAAAAAGTCAAGGCGTTTTGTTCGTTTTTGCCTCATTTGAGAAGTTATCGAATATCAATTAAATTTCCAAGGTTATTCAAATAACCGTTTAGCAATAGGCTTCAAACTAGATATTAAAAATATGCATATTCTTGCAGGATTATGCAGACGCATACATGTCATCAATTATGAAACCGTAAACGTTTCTGAGTGTCGTTATTTCAATGATGTTTGTAATGTATGGAACGAAGAGCTGAAGCTCTCTAATATCACAAACTTGTAAGTAACTTACAATGAAAATCAGAAGAACAGAGTTAAATAACTTACATGCATTCAAAGAAGACTAAACTTCTGTCCTAGCATGGTTTGAACCGTTGACTTGTCGTCGCTGGTTGCAAACTGTGGGCGAGGACCGTTATACACCAAAGATCGACATGTAAGACACGATCCATTTTAACCTCTACCGTCAGATGTTCCAACTGTCTTCGATATTTAAGACGAAGAGTTTTCCGACTGAAATCTGTAATTTAGAGCTTTAAACCAGGCAGGAAAGCGCAATTCTGACTTCCACGTGCAAAGATCCTGATACACGTAAGTTGAATACTTAATGATGAAAGCTTATTTGCAATTCAATTCAAACTTTCTGCGTGCCTCACAATCAGTATTATAAAAATGACACCGTGAGGAGTGGGACTGAATGTTTGATTTCTGGTGGAGATATTTCTGTGCCATTGATCTAAAATACTTGTACATAAGGAGTTGTCGAAATGTTCTACACCTATTAACAGATCCCGATAAAGCGTGGGAAACACATAACAAGTAGGACACAAAACAAACAGCGCGCGAGGAACTACTCGTGACTAACAGAAGACAAAGCAGACAGCGCGTGCGATACCAACGTAACAAATGGAGCCCAAGAGTATCACTTCGCGAGAAACTTTACGTAACAAACAACTCACAAAAAAAAACAAAACAAAAATTACATATAAGAGATAGAATACAGAAGACTTTACGCGAGATACGAACGTAAAAAATAGAGCTCAGAGGAAAACGCACCAACAGTGCGCGATATACTACACGTAATAAACAGATCATAACACAAACAGTGAGCGGAACACTTCATGCAACAACAACAACAAAAAAAAACAGTGCACAAGATACTACACATAACAAACAGATTACCGAACAAACAGTGCGCGAGGTACTAAACGTAAAAACAAATCACAGAACAATCAATGCACGAGATACTAGACGTAAAGAACAAATCACAGAACATACAGTGCGCTAGATACTACAATTAAAAATAGATTATAGAGCAAACAGTGCGCGAGATATTAAACGTAAAGAACAAATCACAGAACAGTGCGCGAGATACTAGATGTAAAGAACAAATCACAGAAAATAAAGCGCGCGATAAAAATTAGATTACAGAACAAGCAGCGCGCGAGATATTACACGCAACAAGCAGGAAAGAGAACAAGCTGTGCAAACAAATATATCACAGGTCAAACAGTGCGTAAGGTACTTCACCTAATGAACAGACCACAAAACAATCAGTGCGTTAGATACTACACGTAACAGAGAGATCTGAGAACAAACAGTCCACGAGATGCTGTACGTAACAAATAGATCACAGAACAGTGCGCGAGATACTACACGTAACAGATCACAGAACAATCAGTGCATTAGATACACGTAACAAACAAATCTGAGAACAAACAATCCACGAGATACTGCACGTAACAAACAGATCAAAGAACAAACAGTGCGTGAGATACTACACGTAACAAACAGATCACATAACAAGCAGTCTGCGAGATTCTTAACGTAAAAAACAGATCACATACAGTGCGCGAGATACAACACAACAAACAGATCACAGAACATACAGTGCGCGAGATAATACACGTAACAAATAGAACACAGAACAAACAGTGCGCGAGATATTTACACGAGACAAACACATCGAAATCCACGATAACTTACTGCTTTATAAGTAATTGTGCGAAAATATAAATGAGATACACGGATGCTACGAACATGAAAGGAGAACAAAGCAGTGAGATACACTGGGAGCACCTTCAATCGCAAGGGAATTAAAGTCAAACGCACTCGAACTTACTAAAAAACGCGCATCGTGGATCGCGCATCGTGTTGGGCGCAGAAACACTCGCGCAGGGAAACGCAATGTGGGTACGCAATAAACGAGGGTGCTGTGAAACTGAATGACCACAAAGTACAAGAAGAATTGACATACCTTTAATAATATTCTGCCTGTTGTTAATTTTAAGTGTTGACGAACAGTCCATAACATTATCCGATTCCAAAGGGAAAAAATGCAGGTAATATTTCAGCTGCATTTTTGCTTAGGATTAATTTCACGTCAGAGGAACTATCAGATTTAAAATCCAAATAAAAGAGAGATGAAGCTTTCGAAGTCTCTTAGAGTTCACAATTGCACTGCTAAAATCAAAGTGCAATTATACTTATTCGTCTTCAAGTATTTCTATTATCAATCACTCAGTCCCATCCTCCGAATTTTGCAGAAGCGCTTCTTCAAAGTTTGGAAAGTTTTCTTGTACCAGATGGTTGAAGATTTTGCTCAATTCTTCACCTGAGTCATACACGTACGTGCCCGGCTATGGAAGGAAAAGAAAACACTGTAGAATCTTTCACAGAGGTTCTATGCAGGGGTTTCCCTAAAAGTAAGTTAACGGCAGTCTACTGCTGACTGTAGGACCTCTCACCGCCGTCTGTTGAGCCTGCAAGCAGGCTCTCGTTTTGGGGTTACGCTTACGGAAACATTTATTGACACACTTGTTTCATGCAAATTATCCTTTTGGATAGCAAAAAGAAGATTAAATTTTCCGGTGGCATTTTTTGTGGAGGCTGTTTTATTTATCTTTAAGAAAGAAGAGAACAAAATCCCTGCCATACAGCAAACGGTTTGAGCCAAGAGTGACAGTGAAGTGCTATCGGGTGGTTCTAGAAAGCATTGCTATTGGTCCCTATTGGTGATAGCGAGTGACGTTTAGTCGAACTGAGCGACAAAGTATCACTTGAAGTGTCACTTACAATACTCCTTTCGATTGGCAATACACTCTTGGTAATGAAAAACAGCAAGGGCGGATAATGCGATATAATAGACAAACCGCAAAGCAGATAAAGCAACCTTTGCTATCCACCAGGGCCCAGTTGTATAAAGGGCGGATAACACTATCTGACAAGTGTATAGCGTAACCCACTGTTCGAACAACCAGGTAAAATCATAAAAATCCTGGGAATATGAGGGGGGAGGAGTATTAGACTGGTCGATTTGGACAGTAAATAATTTTGTATTTTACAAAAGGGGTTTATGTGTGTGGTCAAATCAAACAGAGCCTATAACAAACAAGTTTGTCGTATCCACAGGGGACAATTGCTTAGAGATAATTTTTCCACATCAGCTGTCTAGTTGCCTCCCCTATTAACCTGCCTTATCGAAAAAAAAACCGATTCTGTACCTTATTGAACGTTTTACAGTTGTTCAACATCAAACGTATGTCCTTTAGGAAGTCCACGACAGATGTGTATTGAAGAGAATGCAATTTTTCTTTTACAACAGACAGGTCCATAGGCTTCTTGATGACTTTATAGTAATCAGGTGACTAAAAACAAAATACATTTACATTTACAATCACATGTATTGGGTCGGTGAAATCGTTAAGATATCACACTAACCGTAAGATATCACACTAACCGTAAGATATCACACTAAAACTTTGAAATAAATATTAACAAATTAGTGAGAGGAATGGACGGCTCCTGACAGTTGAAAGATTTAGTTAAGATTTTATATGCTTACCTGTTTTTTATCCACAGGTCGAACAAATGGAATACTTTCATCATGGGCCCATATTTCTTTTAGAATTATGTCACACTTCTGCAAGAACGGAAAAGTTGCATTAATATGGCAACTTTTAAAACTGAATTGATCAGGAAACACAAACTCTCCAACTTGGCCCTGAATTTGAAGATGCAACCAGTGCTTCTGGAATCACTACATAATATACATGAGAGCAAGAAATGAGACAAATGAGTGATTCTCCAAGATTGATTTCAGACATGATCAAACCGCAACACCTCATCCACTTCCAATACATAAATTTTATTGGTTTCAGTTTTCACAGAAGGGCTAACTTTGGAAATTGGAAGAGAAAATTTTTAACTTCAAGAGGCTCCAACAAAGGCAATGTTGTGAAAAGGGCCCATTATGCCATCTTCTGGATAAACCACTGTTCAGTGGATAAGTGTTCACAAAAACAAACAGGACTAACAACCAATAGAGACTTATTCATTGGATAGCGTTATATACCCTTGGAACAACTGTGGCCAGGTGAATTAAGGGGGGCAGACCAGGGCCAGGTTGCCTGAAGCTGGGTTAAGATAACCCAAAGTTTGTGTGAAATCGGATTTTAGATTTGAAAGATTTGGCAGAAAATTCAGCATAAATTTTTTTGGGCTACAACTTGATATTGAATGCTCTAAAAAGAATAGACCACAAAATTATTCCAAAAGGGCTTTTAAACAAAGGAATAAATCAACCCAGATTAAAATTTAACCTTAGGTTAGTGCGAATCGGCCTTCAAACAACTGAGCCCAGGAGAATAGAAAGTACAAAGTTTACAAGAGACTTTAAAAGCAATGAAATTTAAGTGCATCAGCATTGTTTTCATCTTTCACGCACGCCTTATGTGATGAATATGATGCTAAGATAGGGCCATAGGATGTATTTCGAAAGCTAGAAGCCAAATTTCTAGAAAATGAAATAACAGAAGAATGATAAATCCCTTGTTTGATAGTTTAACATATCATACAAGAAGAAATTGTGCTCAGTGCTTGTATCTTTCCTCATCCCTATGGAGCTGGGGAAAATAACCGCAGAATATCAGCATGTTTTATTTCTTAAACCATCAAATAAGTGTATTTATCAAATAACATCACCATAAACTCTTTGCTCAATGCTCCTCCTCTTTTTCTTCTTGGTGATGCCACATAAGTTTTGCTATTTGGAGAGGCAACAGAGCTGTGCTGTGGTGATCTTTTCAATAAGACCCTCAATTCGTTCAGCTTGGATAGCTTTAAAGGTGACGGTGATTGCATGGTTCTGCCTGCTGTTCCTGTCACAGCTTTCACTGGGGTTCTTGATAAGGGTGACTTTTCATGTTCTTCAGGGAAATTACTAGTTGCATCAATCTTCCTGGTTTTCTTAGGTGTAGTTTCCTGGAGAGGACTTCCAGACAGATCAGAAGAGTGCCGCTTTACACCTGAAACACCTTTTGCAAAATGAAAAAATACACTTGGCCAAAATTCAATTTGACACTTTGAAAAGCATTCTAAAAAGCTGTTTTGAAACCATCTGTATAACATTTTGTTATACAAGAAACCAGACATAATGCCAATAGAAAAATATAACAATATTTCAATAATTTCAAATATTTTTCAGAATCTGATGACCACCGAGCGGGAGTCAGATTTGTCAATCACAATAGTATGACTACAGATGGAATTGGATGACACAAGGTCCTGTTACCAATTAACCATAACTGTTACAAATAAAAACACATTTAGGAAAAACATCTTCAGCAGAGACAATGTCTAAAGTAAAAAATTCTTCAGTTTTGGAAATTCTCAATCTTTTTCCTAAGATAACTGGTTGTTGCTACGGTTATTGTGATCAATTCTGTGATTGGTAGATTTGGTTGAGTGGACTTAGTATGATTGGCTGCTTCAACTGTCCAAGTACACTGTCTGATTACAACTGTACAGAGTGATTAGTGAAAAATATTTAGCAGCTAATACACCAATCATGTTTGAGGAAATTGTAATGGTTATGATTAAAGGTATAAAAAGTTGTCCACATGCTGGTTTTAAAGGTATGGTGTTTGGGTTAAGGGAATGGGACATGATAATGTCTTTGTACAGCAATACTACACTACTCTCTACACAATAAAGGAAACCTTTTAATGACATCCTTGAGATTGGTGACTTGTCACACACTTCTATGAAGTCAATTGTCCCATCAATTTCCTCAGCTCGTTTAGAAGTAGGTTCTTTGCAAGGTTTCTGAGGTGAGTCTGGCATGCATCTCTTTGTATCAACATCTACTGCATAGTAAAGTACAATGGTACTCATAATTCTATTTTCATATTAAAATTCTGTAGTGAAATCAGCTGGAATGGGTTAAGAGTTTTTTCCTGCCACCACATCAACATCCTTAAGCTGACGAACCCACATTCCTCTATGTCATTGTGAGTTGTTTCTCATTCCTATGTGAATTACATTGTCTTAGATGCAAAGAGCACATTTTTGATAAAGTGTTTAAAGTAATCAGGGATTGCCCTGTTTTTGATTTACTTCGCTCTGTGATTGGTCCAGAAAACTTGCACTGCTTTTTGAACCAATCAGATGAAAAACGGGAACCAATCACAAGCTTTAGGCAGTTGGTTTGTTTTAAATGTAAGCTTTTATTGGCATTTTCCTCTCTTCTGATTGGGTGTTGTGATCACTTTTTGGGTTTTGTTTTTATGATACTCAATTGAAAAGTAACCTTAAGATCATACGTACTGACAGGCAACTGTCAATCAGGTTCAGTGGATACCATAGGTTGACTTGTTGTCTGAGTGTTCGTTGCTATAACAGTCGACATGTTGACTAAGAGTTGGCTGACATATTGACCAACATTGGTCGCCTCTCAACTGACACAAGTCAGACAATACTTGCTTAACAAGGGCCAATACTTTACCAGCACAGCTGAGGACACTACCAACACTTGGTAGGCTTTTATTACTTAGTTCTATCTTCTCCTCAACTAATGACTTATTTCTTATAGCTATTTAAAAAGGGGCTTTCAATGGCCGTCGTCCATTCTTAACTTTTTATGCCAACTGGCAACTATGATTCATATTGGTTAAGTGGTATAACAATACCTGTATGATAATCCTGTATAGAGCTGCAACTGCACTGAGAATTTGCATCATTTGAGTTCTCCTGCTGTCCATTCCCCAATTTTATGTCTACAAGAAAAAGAGATATTCACAAATTAAGGATGACTAAGTATATAATGGCTCTCTAGTGACATAGTTTCCTAGGGCTTGGGATTGTAATTGATACAAGTATGCCAATATGACTCACATTTTCTCACTGGTGACTTAAAGTTCTGGTCTTTAGTCACCATCCTGGTGACTAAATTTTTTGTATGTTTTAAATTAAGACTTAAATTTAAAACATATTCTGCATATGTGATCCATATCACTGTTCCTCTTTTTAAAGATGGGAACAGTATCTTAAGTAGTCACTTCATATATCATTCAGGAAAAACACCTAGTACTTGTGGTACCAACAGGTACATACAGATGTGGCTTTCAAGTTGGTGACCATTTTCCTCATTTTAGTGGCTAGGAGCCAAAAGTTGACGAGGGTTTTTTTTTTTAAGTTTTGTGCCCTGTTTCCACTTACCTTTAGGCAGAGAAGAATACTGTGCACTCATAACCCCAGCTTGTCTTAGCTGTTTTACTATGTCTTGTCCAAAATAAATTGCAATTTTAAGGCTTTTCATCTGGCATTCATTGGCTGTTAAAGCACACAGTTCTTTGAGACGCATGAAGACTGCTGGAAATTCTACCACAAGGCTTCTGGGATCTTTATTCAAAAGCAATTTTCCTATCAACAAAATTACAAGAAGGAAATTGTCATGAATTTGACATCAAAAGTTTCCCTCTGGTCTCTCACCTAAGTCTTATAGAGAAGTGTTCAAGTGAAAGGTTGATACTTTAACTGATAGGTGTTTATTAGCATCACAGAGAGAGGGCAAAATTTTTTGCTTCTGATTAACTGATACATTCAGGAATTATTTTTTTCATAGTGAAAGATGATGTTTTCAGGTGATGAGGCAGGCATACTTGAGGAAAAAAGAACTATCTATTTATGTTAACGTAAAGATGGTACAATCACTTGATCCTGATTGACTAAGAATGTGTCACTTGCAATGTACTGGGTTCAAGCACAAAAGCCTTTTTTAAAAAAAAAAAATCAGAACACAATGATACTGTGCGAGACAGAGTCACTGATTAACTAATTGTAGAATTCATTTTGGATGTTTTATATGTGAAAATGCCAATCATTTTGGGAAAACATACATTTTTAGCACCCCTATTCAGAACTGAGTGGACATTGAGTGCATTGGTATCATCTGTTATATTAGTTTATGCCAGTACATTCTACCGACTGAAATTATCATGATTCCTTCAGAAGACACCACTGGAGTTGAAGGAAATTACACTACTTTATGCTCAAAATTTTATACATGGTACCTTCCTCAGAGAGAGTCCTGAGATTTCTTAATGTGTTTCTTGCTTGTACTATTCCTTCACCACTTTCCAGGAACTCATCAAAATACTTTTTCGTATCTTGCATGAGTTGGGCTTCCCTCTCATCCAGTATCTGCCGCAACTTAGCAAAACAGCACTGAACATGGCTGATTGAAGCATTCATCCCACTGCGAGCTGAAGTTTCAACATTGGTGAGTTGACATGCTATCTTTCCAATTGATTCAGCAGCATCTTGTAATTTCTTTTCCATGAGAGATCTCAGTTTTGGTACAATTGTTTCTATGTGTTCAATAACATGGTTTGCACGTTCAGGTGAAAGCACGCTCTCCTTTTTGCAAATGATGCACATTGGTCGAAGCAGGGTCAGGTTAAAATAATCAAGAGTGTGTTTGTGCTCACTGCAAATTGCTCTAAGTTCAGTTAGTTTCCCATGCTGAGCTTTCCGTTCATTTCCACAATGTTCTCTTTCATAGCAACAACTGCAAAACATGGCAGCACATTCTGGACAGTAAAACTCTGCAACATTCCCATCACAGTACTCGCGGCAATGTGGTATCCCCGTGGCTTTTGAGCAGGACTGCATTCTGAAAAGAAAAAGGCGCATATGCTGTCATTTTTGTTATTTCTGTCCGCCATAACTGCTGACTTCAATACCAAAAATCTGACCATTGTCCAGTGATCATTAAGTTATTCAAAAGCATAAAAATCCGGTTGGGTTCAAACTTAATCACATAGCGCAGAACTGAACAGGTATAGTAAAGCATTGCTTATCCTGTATTTTGCCCTCAAATCAAATTGTTACTATTAAGTGGACAAAGGTTTAAAACTTGACAACGAGCTTAAGACCTTTCTGGAAAACGATAATACTAATCGGATGGCCTTTCCAGAAGATAAATGTTTTCAAATTAAACATAACGATCAAAGGATGCCTCGGAATTCATTACTTTAGCATAAGTGCCAGCTGCAGACTTAAATGCATATTGAAGAATTCGAACTTGAAAAATTCATTCACTGGTCTTGAAGTTTGCACATTTACATTATAGCCAAACGATGGTGAAACGCGAGGAACCATGGTCGGAAGTGAGAAAGCATAGACGAGCAAACAACGGAAATCAAGCCGGCGTCACCTACATTCATTTTAATACCCCAATTTAAAAAATTAGATATCTGGCGGTATCAACGCATGAAGTTGTTACAATTTGGTCACCAACATTACTCTTACGGTTAAACTACAGAATAAGGATCAAGATTGACTAACTAGACCGTGTTTCCAATAGTAAAGCGAAATCGTAGCCAACACAAATGCCAGAGGAACCGCCACTCGCATCGTGTGCAATTTCACCGCCAAAGCCTATTCCTAATCTCTCAGCTATTAAACCGGAAAAAGACGATAAATTATCCAGGCATCCACTTGTACACACAATAACAGCAAAGAACTTACCTAACAATTTTGAAAATCCTTCAAAACAAGAGTCTCACTGTTTGAACTGGAAGGACGTTGGGGTCACGAAACCTTCACATCACTCGACCCAGTCTTTTTGAGCAGGATTATGTTAGGCGTCTCCGTGGCGTTTGTACGAAAGATTTGAGCTAAAGACTTGAATCCAAGTTTGCAATACGATACTTATCAAAGGACCTTGTTGAAAAATAGTTCACCTATGCGAGCAGAGGTCAAATGGACAGTGCAAAACGCAGGCTGGTATGGTTGCAAGAGCAAGTTTCAAAACGTAACTTGTACGTCCTAGTTTGCTTACAGTCTAATCTGGCTTGTGAGCAGTTAACATGTAATCCTTTTCAACCCTTTAACCCCCGAGAGTGACTAACATCTAATTTCTCCTCACAATATCACCCCTGAATCAAAACATAAAGGTACTGAGAGTAGAGGAAATGATCCCCAACTAAGGCAGCTCTTGATTGTGAAACAAATTCTCTTTGTTTGCACCCTTGGAAATGTATAAAGGACAGTTTGGAGAATATGCATACTAATGTTACGTTGTAGAGGGTTAAGGTGGCTACTGTGTGACCCCTACACCTTTGCATCTGCATTTGTGGTTTAAACTGCCAGTTGAAGGTAAAACAAAATACAGAGGGTTAAAATAATTTATTTGAACATAATTCCAGAACACCTGCCCTTGCCAGCTTGTTCAAGTAAGTTACATATTAAAAGAAGTACTCACTTTGAATAGAAAAAGTTCTCAATAAACACTACATAAAACAGTGTTAAATCCATCCTTTCTTACTGTGCTGCTATTGATATCAATTGACGATCATTCATCTTGATGGCATTGAACACTTTTAAAAAAAGTAACAAAGCTGGCAATGAAAATGGAACTGAAGTGGAAGGTTGGACATCAAATAAAATAACAGTATCGAGAAAGTGTATTAAATTGAATAAAACTGAACAAATAGAACATTGTCTTTGATCCTCACTACACAATTGTCTTAGATGAGCACCATGGAATTTGTCATTTGTTGCTATCTTCACAAATATTAAGGTGATGACCTTGACTGCAAAATCCCTCTGTGGAAAACTCCTCTGACACCATAGTAGACTACAGCAACAGCATCTTATGGGGGGGGGGGGGGGGGGCCAAAAAGCATGTCTATTTCCATAAATTGATTTCCAATAATAAACTATTTACATTCTTATCTTTTGACCTTTTTACTTTTTGTGGTAGCTACTGTTTTGCTTGTTTCAGCAACTTTTCTTTTCTGTCAAAAAAAAAAAGGAAAGAGAGATATGGAAAAAAATTTTAAACTAAACAGAGGAAATTGTCTGCAGATGAAAGGATTTATTTTAAAACTGCTCAACTCCTGTATACCAGTTAAATAAATGCAAATTACATTGAAGTGAGAACATTCAAACTAATGTTAGTATTGAGAGTCTAATTTTTTTTGTCTAGCAAGCAAAATAATTTCACCATACATGTATGTATAGTAAAGAAGAAAAAGTTAAGCCAATAAATAACCGTCTTACCTGTGAATTTTTTATTTTCTTTTTGAAGGCTTCCACATCCACTTTGCTGTCATTTGCTACAATCACCATTTTAAAAATAACATTTTTTTTAGGCAAAATAGGCACATCAATGCTGACAGTTACCAGTACTTCTTTCCTCAGTGGAAGCTTATCACAAAGACTATTGCTAATAAGTGATGAGTAGCTAGGTTGTAAAAGCTACAAAAGAGAGAACAACAATTCAAGCAATGCAATAGTTTCTTTGCCAGTGAGAAAGTCTGAGTCTTTGAGTATAGCAAGCTATGGAGAGGTCTGCAAAGGCACTGGCACTAATTATGAGATGATTAGTGCCAGACCCTTGGAAGACCTCTCCTTGACCTGTCTCAAATCTTCCAGCAGTAGAAAAACACTTGTACTGTAGTGCTAAGTGCTAGAAATTAGGGCTGTGCTTGAGTGTATTTCTTTTTCTAGGTGGGCATGTGCAGCCTGTGGATCTCACCTTTCTTCTTGTTTTCTTGTTTAGGTTTTTCCTCCACAGGTGGAATGAACGCCTGCTCCCTTTGAGCTTTTCGCTTTCCTTCTGCAGCCACTTGACGGTTCTGTTGGTCAAAATATGATTCAATAAGGATTGATTTTGAGCTCAAACTATCAACCACAAGTACAGTCAAAAAGATATACAACAGCCACCTTTGAGAGAGAGAGAAGAAAACAGCCATTTCAGAGAAGTGGCCAACACAAGGATGTAGGATGTCGCAGGAAAGCTTTCTTGTTCAAAGTTTAAATATCTTTGTTATATGAACTACAATGTTTCACAAGGGTTTCCAGCCAAGAGAATAGCTGTAACTGCACATTTGCAATTTGATGATAATTTTCTAAGTGTGTTTGATTATGCCAATCAACTGCTGACATGTCGCTCTCCTTTTGGGCCATTGTTTAACAATTGGTTCATACGTCAGCTGTGCGTTCATCGAGATATGAAGCACACAGGAAGTTTGGAGAGCACGAAATGCCTCGAGCAACTCCAGCTTCTTGAGTGCTCTCTAAACTTCCCAAGTGCTTCATATCTCAATGAATGCACAGCTGACGTATAAACCAATTCTTTTATAACATTTTCAACCCAATGGAAAATTTTTTTCTTTAGGGATATGTTTGCTGACGTCATGAGCATGTACAATAGGAATATGAAGCATGCTCACGCAATTGAATTTGATTACACAAATTTACTAGCTATGTTATAAATCAGTTTGATGAATGAGTGGCCAAGCATTCACTATTATCAATCCAAGGTCATTTGTTGAATTTTCTTGTCTTGCCCATGATGATTATATAATACACAAAATAATACTTGGTTGCTTGTTGATAAAGAATTTCTCTTCTCATGTACAACTCCATACTTCACTCATTCTCTGCACTCACATGTGAGAAATTCCATATCTATGTGCCCCCATGCATTATTCTCTATTCAATGTTATGTAAAATACTCAGTGTAGTAAATAACTATGTAATCTGATCAAAACTCAGAGGTTCTTTACTTAGCGATCATTTTGTTTATTCTCATCACCTTAATGTTTCATTTAGCACTTATACTGTAAGGAGAAATAAGATATCAGTCACTCTTGGGAGTTAAAGGGTTGATTGCCTGATGTTGAGAGGTTTAATTTTGGAAGTCAGGATAGTCTTTGATAGCCATTACTGTTGTGGCTCTTGTGGAGAAACGAGAGTAAGTGGAGACTCAACTATAACTATGTGATCCAGAATTGAGAGCAAAAGACTGAAGAATTCTACATGTAGGAACTATCCTAATTCAGGTGTAATCTCTACCTTCTTTTCCTGTTGAGCTTTCAGTCTCCTTTCTTTTTCTTGTAGAAAGTATTCACCGCTGGCTAACTGTTTATCAATCTAAAAGAAGAAAACAAATCTTCAGAGTCAATATGTCAATTAGTATGACAACCAGTGTGGAGTCATTTGCTTTTCCCATGTGCATGTCACATCAATGAGTCAAAAGTTGGCTTAATGTTCTGCAAAAAGTGCACTTTGAAAAACATTGTCCCTCTAAAAACACCAAAACTAATCATTGGCATGCTTCTAAAGCAAAGCAGCCTACATGTACAAGTTCCCAAAACTTGTCTCAATCTTTGCAGCATAAAGGAACTAGGACTGTTGCCACTCATAAGAGATGGGATGTTACCAGTCCTTTGGAGGTCACACTCTAGTATTTTGTTAGGCTTCTCTAGCAGTTCACAGGTACCCAATAATACTCCTGAGTCAAGAAGGCACTGTGAGAGTATAGTTCTTGCTCAAAATGTTGCAGCCATGTGTCAAACACAGAACTCTCAACACCCACTCTAGTGCTAACCATTATGTCTCTGTAGTGTCTCCCACATTCTACGTTTCAGACCAAATCCAAATTCTTTGGTCTCAGGTCTCAAATCATAGCTAAAAGAAAGTGAGGGGAGGAGAGGGGAGGGGAGGGGAGGGAGGGTAGGGTCCCTTATATGGAAAAGTAATTCTCCATAATAAAAGAAATTTCATGCTCTTAAATTTCAATAAAAAGCTCACACCTGATACTTCCCTATGTATAAAAAAACTTATGCATAGGGAAACAATGTCTTGGTAAGTATGATTTGAACTAAAATTATTTGTGTTACCTTGCTTTCTGTTTGAGGTGGGGGGAATGGAGTATATTCCTTCTTCTTGAACTTGGCTTTCTTCACCTTCTTTGTGGTGGTCTGTCTAAACTTGGGTAAAAATCTGTCCCAAGATTCATTTTTCAACTCTGGATCTTTAGCTAGCTCTCTTTTGATCATCAGTGTCTACAAGTGAGAAAAGAGCCAGGTACATCACTATGAAAAAACTTTTCATTAAAATTTGATTTATAGGCTCCCTGAGATCTTGGGAAGTCCTGTATTTTAAATTATCAATCCTCAGTCATGTAAAAATGTTCCATCTATTGCCATTACAAAATTAAAACCATTTTCAACAAATTCACACAAACCTTGATGTTATAAATCGGATGAATATTTTTCATTGTATCTTCCACCACTTTACGCACCTAATGAAAAAAGGAAAATCAGCACTTCACAATTTCGGTATAAATTTCAAGAAGCAGGTTGCCCTGTGATAGTTGATGCTTATCCGAGCTTCTGATGAAGGCATGCAGCAACAAGACAAATTGAGACCTTTCTTGGATGGGATACAAGTCTAGTTCTGTTTACTTAAACCCTCACACCTTTATATCATATTATACATAATCTCCATACTGTTCTCCCCACATTTCCTAATGTGTTGACAAGGAGAATTTGTTCAACAGTCGAGAGCTTTTTTAGTTGGTGATCATCTTCTTTATTCTCCTTACCATAATGTGTGATTTAATGTTGACGTTGAAGGTAAAAATTAGCTGCCAGGGGTAAAAGGGTTTGTAGACCCCTACATCTCTTAATTCAGGGCCTTCAAGTAAATATTAAACCAACACCATCTCTTTGAAACCTTCAGCGTATAAACAGAATAAGGATCAAGATCGTCCAGGCTGAAATCAAACATTATACTGCCAAGGGTGATTAACAAGTAACTTCTTCCAATGATATCTGTACATTATCCAGCAAACAGGTCATGAGAATACCCAAACTTAACAGGAAGAAGTTGTATCTTAATATAACACTAAATTCTCCTTAGGTTAATTAATTGATAAAGAAATGTGCAGTAGCTAGTGGAGAGAAGTAACAATCATATCTTGGAAGTTTAAGGGTTAAACCTTTCACTCCCAAGATCTGATTGTTAATTCTCCCTTCTAGCTGCTACACATTTCCCTTTAAATAAGTTACATGAATTTGGTGTTAAATCAAGAAAACAACCTCTACCTGATTAGTTTAAGTATTCTTGTTACCTCTTTGCAAGATGATGAATGGATTTTACAGGGAGAAGTGACATGTCAATCACTTCTGGGAGTTCAAGGGTTAAACACAATTTGATGATCTAGCCTATGTTTGTACCCAGTTAAATTTTTCGAAACAAAAAACAAACAGGACTTTGAACAAAGACTCCACTCTTGTACACAAAATCAAAAATTTTAAAACTTCAAAAATGAGACATAAAATCAGTTATATTCAAAAGAACAAGGAAGATTCTCTCACCTGTTTAAGTCCTTTGTATGGACCAAGGGATGCCACAGTATTGCCTTGTACCATGATATAACATTGTGTGAGTAATTCAAGAGCCTTCAAAAGACAAATATATTTGAAATGTAAGTCCTTTGAATTAAGACTAAAATTAAAATAATAATTCATTTCAATTGGTAAATAATGTAACTAAAGTAATACAAAAAGATGGAGGCAATTGTGGTTAACCAATAGAAACAATGAAGTCAAAGATGGAGAGGATTAAAATGAATTACAACAGACAAAATAAATGCAGTGCTTTTCGAGATTCACTACCCAGATTGGTTTGTAACATAAAATCTGTCAAACAAACCATCTCACTGACCTTTAGTGTTGCCCCATTTGGACCAAGAAGCCTCTGTCTTCTCTTTACAAACCTTTCTCTGTTACGAACTAAGGATCCTATCTTTATAATGTCACATGCAACATCATCTTCTAAAACACGCTGAGCCTGAAGAAAAGAAAAAAAAAAGGGGTGGATTTTTATCTCAAAAAGCTCTTAGGCTATCTTATAAAGGTTAATAGTCACAAGGAATATTTGTTTAACAATCTAGAGCATCTTTAGTTGGTGATCATTTCCTTTATTCTTGTGACCCTTATGTTTGATTCAGGGGTGATATTGTAAGGAGAAATTAGATGCCAATCAGTCTTAGTGGTCAAAGGGTTGATATCAATAATTAGTTCTTACCATGCGGTAAATGTTAGTGCCCCAACTGGGATCACAAACCTGCTCAAATGGAACACTTCTTGCCATAAGTTTGATCATATCTCTGGCCTTGATGATGATATAAGGATCCCACGTCTTCCGTGTTGTACTTACTGTCATGCTTCCTTCAATAACATCAAGCTGACACTTTAACCCCTGAAAGTATTTTTAAAAAGATCTTGAAAAAATAAACAACTAGATGAAAATCAATGCCTGCATATCCATGGAGTGGTTCTTGGTCCACAGATTTAAAATCAAATCTGAATTTGACTTGAGCATTGGTTTCTATTAACCCTTTACACTCTAACATCAGTATGCATATTCTCCATACTGTTCTCTATACATTTCCTAAGGTGCTGACATGGAGAATTTGTTTAACAATCTAGAGCTCCTTAAGTCAATGATCATTTTCTTCATTCTCATGACCTTAGTGTGCGATTCAGGGGGTGATATTGTAAGAGGAAAAAAGATTCTAGTAACTCTTACAGGCCAAAGGCTTAAGGGAAGGCAGCCACTGAGACTTGTACACAACTCTGAAAACTAACTACAAAATCAACCCACTTGTGATGCTAAGGTAAGGAATAAAACTTGAGCCTTTGCATTAGCAGGAAATTGCTCACACTTCTCAGCCAGCCTGTCTCTCACCAGACATTCCTTAACACTCCAGTAACAGTATAGGCATTCATTTAAAATGTTTTTCTAAATTTTTCCATGATCTGTCACCAGCACATGTGTTCCATCTAGCCATGATAATTATTTTTAATAAATCAACAGTGGACTCCATAAGAGCAAGTTCACATTTCTAACAATTTCTTTTGTACCAAAGGTTCATTATTCACACGTGAGTGTCTTGAGCGTATGAATAAACTTACAGATTCTTTCAACTTCTTTTCCACCAAAGGCCAGAATTCCCGCAGGTATTTTTCTCTATATTTTGGAAACAAAGTTGCAAACGAACTCTCCTCTATCATGCCATGAGGATTGTCTTCATTTGAGAATGGCTCGATTTTCCAATGGTCAATTCCCTCGTGATCCCAGGCTAAGAAAACATGGAACGAAAAGATCAACAAACGTGTATGCATCAAGTAAATCAAATATATCTGAGGATCAATGACAACACAAAGACTATTCACGCTTCAAATTAAACACTAAACGATCACATTCTTAAAGTTTACAGGACGTATAATAAAATAAAATTTGATTTGGGTTGAATCCTACACGAGACATTTTCTGTCTCAAGTTTATCTAAGTTTAATTTGAGCATGAATGTTTTTAAAGTTGTGATACACGTGCATGTATAAAACTTTAGACTTACGCTTGTCTTTCCTGTAGTTTCTTTTCTTGCTGCCACCTTTCAAAAATATTAGGATATATCAATGTTTTCAAAAGAAATTATATTAAAATGCACACTAAACCGGAGCAAGATTTCAACTTTTACCTGGTTGTTCTGTTCCAGCTGGCTTGCCGTCGCCGTCCGCCATGATGGATTGCTGGCCTAACCTAGTTCCCAGACATTCTCTTATTTCTTTGGCCATCAAACCCATGCTACTCGGATGGTTAGGGTTAGGGTTAGTTTGGGGAGTTTTTTTTAGGGGAGTTTGGCTTGGAAATCAGTATCCATGAAAGAAGTAGAGACAGCATACCTTACAACTCAAATACTTTTAGTGAGCCCGCATTTCGCTTAAATTTTCTTTTTGTACTTTGGAGGCTATCTTTGATGGAAGGGGGGAGAGGGAGGAGGGGTGGGGGGTTAGACCTGAGGTTCCAGACGGAGTCGCGAGGGGGTTGGGATTATTTGAGAGGGGGGTTACTAGAGAGAGGTTTAACAAAGAGGGAGCTTTTGGAGAGACGTTGGAATTTTCCTCAGACTTAACACTTAATCTTCTCGCCTGAAACAATAACCAACTGGTTAAACTTTGGACTAACAAATCAAGGGTTCCTAATTAAATGCTCGTATTTGTTTCCTGTATGTGGTCAGGAGCTGCTCCTGGTGTGGCACATAAAAAAATAATAATAAAAAAAGAGAGAGAGAGAGAGGAAAAAAAAAAACAGATTTATTAGTTATGGTCGTTTGGAGACCCGGTGAAGGACGAGCTGGATATGAAGTCTTGAAAATTTCTCAGACCTAATTTGGGGAATAAATCAGTACCAGAATATCGGACAGTTAGACTAAAGCTTCAAAAAGTTGCTCATTTTTCAGTATTCTAGGATATGCCATTTGCTTGTCTGTGGTTAATCAAAGTGGCCGCTCGTTAACAGGACAAGAGAAAAGCGGCCATCTTTGACGTTTGACTATGGCAGACTTGACAAGAGCACCAGGAATGTCACGATTATGTCACGAGGGGGAGGGGCCAAGGGTTCCCAGGGCACCCTCCCCGTCACTTCACCCTATGGTAGAAGGTGATATTTATTACACATGTGAAGCAAAAAACAAAAAAATACTAACATTTGCTTTTATTTTATGTTATCAATTTATTTTTCTGTAACTACCAAGATTACAATCTTTTGCTTATAACACTATCGTTGACCTAATCTTGTGGGTGGTTTAATTGCCAAGTCACGACTGGTTCTCTTTAAGCGTAGCTTTGAAAGTATAAAAAGTATAAAAGTATAAGAAAACTCCGAGACCATTTCAAACATAAAAACTACCCCTATCTTTCAGACCAACTAAGCCAGTTACTTTCTTCGCGATTTCTTCAAGCCCCGAGCAATGAGAAGAAAGAAGAAACTCTTCGTTTCTCTTTGTATAGCTTAACTAGAACAATACAAAGATTCAAATGCATTTAAGATGATGAGAGAGATCTTTAAGTACGCCAAAAACTTCATGTTATTTTCAGTTTTTAATATATTCCTGTTTACCTCTTTTCATAAAAGTTGATGAAAAAGGAAATCAAACCGCCTTGCGGCTTAGAGAAACTTATGAAAAACACGTATTATATTAACAGTATAAAAATTTACCATAAAATATACACGTTAAACGCAGTGAAAGCCATAAAACTACACGAACTGCTTAACATCAGAACAAGGGTTTTGAATCACAAACAGATCACTCTTTAGCTCGTCTTCTTTCTCTCGTGCTTTTTTCTCGGTTGTTAAGACCAGTTTGCCCCTGGTGCAGGCCTTTCGCCTGGTAACGCAGATGTACACAATCAGAATCAAGGAAAAGCCCGTCAAAACTCCAGCAAGAATCATCAGAAAGGATTTCTCTTCGAAAATTTTATTACCTGAAATATTTGATGCATGTTAGTAAAAAGTTTCAATAAAACACTTTTTCGGTCAGTGAAATGGAGCAATTTTCAACTGAGCGTCAAGAGTAATCCGGGATTACTCTGTTTTTGCTTTAATTTGCTCTGTGATTGGTCCAGAAAACTCGCGCCACTCTCTCAACCAATCAGATGCAAAATTTAAACCAATCACGACTTGGTCGCCCGCGTTTTCCCGCGCTTTAGGCATTTTTCTCGGTTTTACTTTTTGTTCTCATTGGCTCTTACAGCGCTATTGGATTGGGTGTCGTAAAGCAAAAACCAAAGTAACCACCAAGGCCAATTAAAATAAAGGAAAATATCTTTAAGGGCCATTTAGAACTCAACGTAAAAAAACAACCAAACTGCCTAAAGCGCGAGAAAACGCGGGCGACAAAGTCACTATTGCTTTTAGTTTTGCAAATGATTGATTTAAGTTTTGAGAAATAAAAGAGAATCTTTAATCCCAGGTTATACTCTTGTGGTTATTAATCCTAACCCCTTTCCAGGCCCAAACATCCCTTTTTAAACCTTATTTTTTAAACCTATCCCTGCTGTGTTTCAGGCCCTCTTCAGAGCGCCACGAATTGGTAAAACTCATTTGAAAATTCAGCTCGAATGATGTATTTTGGTCAGTTCTCTTTCTTTTTTTTCCAATCAAAGACCTAAATTCATGTTCGTTATTCCTTTGAAAACCATTTCCGATTTAAGACCATCACATTCAAATTTCATACCCTTTTTCAAAACATAACCACTCAAAAAACATACCCACTTGGGCGACACATAACTCTATGGCTTACATTGCTGGGAGGCGCCCCTCTCCCTGTTCACTCTTGTAACTCCACTTGCGTGCCTACATTTTTACGTCAGCGTTCAGGAAATGGATCATGTGTTTGTCGAAAAAGAGCTAGTCGTTTTTGTACTGACATATTTTGTAACCTAAAATTGTTGTTGTTGTTGGTCACTCTAAACTCGAAACACTCGGTAAGTTTTATCGTATTTTATGCACACTGTAATTTCGCTCGCTGAGGTGTAATTTTCTGTTCATCGAAAACCTACTCTACTGTCAAAATTGAATGTTTACTCGGTTCGATCATGGGAAAATTCGTGGATTATAATCGGAATCCCTGCTAATAAATGGTTTGAGTTTTCGCTTTCGGGTTTATTCTTATGTGGTTCTGCCAACTGCGTAATAACTCTTTCATTCAGGTCACGGCAAGGTCGCCCTTTCTTCCTGAGACGCTATCAGCATAAAATCAAGAAAAATAAGATAGTATCACACGGTAAGGATCCAAACTGTTAATTACCTTCGGAGTAATTAGCTGGACTGTATACTTTCACATTCCTCCAACCTAAAAGCATACAAAATTTTGAGAAAATGGCAGCAGTAAGAAATCCAGGCCTAACTAACAAATGAACCAATTGTGAACAGAAAAAGTACGAACGGACCGGCGGACGCACAAACGCAGTAATTTATGGATGGATAGCTGGATCGATGGATCGATGGATGGATAAATTAACCAATTAATATTGAGGAATAGCAATTGATGCAGAATACATGACAGTCTACTTTAGTACCTGTTCTGAGTGGTGTATAGTCTTCCAATGGGAATTCAAGTTTATTGGTGGGCAAAGCAACAACCTGAAGGAAAAAAGTAATGATACAAATAATGTAAAAATTCAAGCATGTAAGATGTTAAAGGAAAAGTTTTTCCACCGCGAGTAGTAAACTATTTGAGGCGGGAAGAAGGAAAAGCAAAGTCAGAGTGAGAGCATACCGAAATAAAAAAAATCTTGAAAGAATAGGAGCAAGTTCATTTCTGTGACTGGGATGTAACTATTTTTTGGGCGCGTTGAGATCTCAACAGAGGGATTCACTCACAGTAAGGTAAAGAGTGTTGGGGTATTTCCATCCATCCGTTTCGCTGATGTCAAGGTGTGGTCTAGTCTGAAAAAGGCGAAGAAAAAACATGAAGTAAGAACGTTATTGGCTTAAATTCAAACAGGAAGTGAATTGTGATTAATTGGGCTATTTTTTTTTCCATTACAGAGTGACAGTCAGAGTTTAGCCGCGAGAAGGAAACGAATGCTTCCTTAAAGAAAATTGGAGATGAAGATCTTCAAACATTTTTTTAAACTTAATGCTTCAGGTAGTTTCTATCAAGATATTTTTGATTAATTTTGACTTTTTATTCAGCCGGTGCCATTTTCGTAACCCAGGTCATCAATACGTATACGTATTATTATTACGTACGTATTATAAAAAATATCACGAAGTAGCTCGCCATGTCTTACAAAAACCGTTCATCTGGATGACTCTGAGCTCGTGATTCAAAACAAGCATTAGGACTGAATTTCATCTGAACTGATATATGTGCAAAACTTCGTCTATTATGCTTGTTTTTCTTTGATTTGTTTTTCAATTCTGTGGTAGCTTGCAAGCATACCTTCATCATGAGCCCTGCAGGACGCCGTTTCTCCGCCCGCGGGAAGACCTGAGACGAGTCGGGGAGACTTTTTGCGAGGGTCTACTTCATTTTCAGTGATACACCCCTTACAGACCTCTTGCCGACTCCCATTCCTCAAGACTGGCTTCGGGCTTACTCGCGAGCGAAGGAAGGCTCGTACCGAAGTGCTAATAATGAGGACGTGCTCGCACTCTTTGGTAACGTACAAAGAAAAATGTTCTCACCTTGGGCACCAGTTTGCAACTTGTATTCCCAAAAATTTCGTCCGAGTTGTCTGGGCCTTCTGTGTACCATATCACGATGTAACCAAGCCAGTTAGAGGTAATATTCACGTCTACAAAAACCAAAGAAAAAGGAAAAACAATGACAGGTCGCTAGGAAATCATACTTCTTAACTCTTTACACCTTGATATCAATATGCATTCTCTTCACACTGTTCTCTGTACATTCCCTCAGGTGCTGACAAGGAGAATTTGTTAAGCAATCAAGAGCTTCTTAAATATTCGTCATCATTTCCTTTATTCTAACGACTTTGATTTTTGATTCGGGGTTCAAGGGTTAACATGAACTGATTAGCGAATAAACAAAACTCTATAGGCTGATAATTTAAACAAACAATTTAATAATTGATAATTTAATATAAGAATTATTAATTAATAATTAATAGTTATTTAATAATTAGTTAATTAATTAATTATTAATTAAGATAATAATAGATTATTTAAACAAAGTTTAACCGTAGTTTAACAAAACCGCGTCCTAAAAAATCCTCAATTCAGCTGAATCTTTAATATGAATATGTTTGTTTGCGAACAGTGTCAAGAGAGCCGAAAGCGAACAGTGGAAGGACATTTTTTTTAATTAAATCAACCCTCTTATAGAGAGAGCCTTTGGATCTCTCATTGCGTAAAACCGTGGTTAGGGATAGATCTTGAGTACATAACCGGCTCTCTGGGTTCCTACTGCAGCACCAAAAATGACTAGGGAAACACAGGGATCAAACGTCTGCACTAAATGGAGGATTATTGAAATGATGAAAAGGCGACCCGTCTCAGTACTTCCCAGCTAAAAAACCTCAACAAATAAGTTAGGATGTTTTACAAACGAGCAAGGTTTTTATTAAAGCTGGAAAAAGCGTAATACAAAAGAATACCCGTAATTACTAGAGTAAACTTTGTTTTCGAAAAGTCTAGCTACTTTTTATTCTTTTTGTATATTCAATTCATTTTCGCTGATTCTAAGATAGAGGCTTTGTCTTACTTTCTTCTTCAAATTTTATGCACGAAACATTGGCGCGCGGCCGGCTAAGGGGCTTTATCATTAATGCCTCCTTTCCTTCAACTTTTGAAGGGCTGTAATCGTTTTGCACGGAAGAAAACATTCTTTATGCGTTTATATCTATAAACGTGAACAAACACAGGTTCTCAAGAGTAGCCTTTAATCTCGCTACATGCGACTCAAGCACAAACGCATTTTACCTTTTGGTCGTGTCCAATTCACTCTCGCCACCCATTCCTGGCTGTCTCCTTCCTCTATCTTTACGAAGTCTACTTCCACCTCCTTTACATTCCCTGGTTCGATTTCATCTGAATTGGGAGCATACTTATCTCCGTACGGACAGACTATGACGAGAAGAACAGAAGCGTTTTACTACCGCGACAATTACTGTACAACAATAATCCATACAAGTTTGGCGTTGGTTTCTTGGCGCGGGAAGTGGTACTACGTAGCATTTTGCCTAACTGAACAGACAAAACTTGCATGCTTGTTTAAATAGGAAAATGACCTTAGCACACATCGATTGAGTGTCGTGAAACCCGAACTAGTTGAAAGCAATTAGCGGAAAGATAATTATCACAATGAGCCAATAAGAACTGAGAACATAGGCAAGCAACCTGCTGAAGGGGCGTGAAAACGTGGGTAACCAAGTCCCTATTAGCTTCAGCTTTGCATCGGATTGGTTGATTGAGAGGATGGCGCGATTTCTTAGGCCGATCACAGGACGATGCGAGGTAAAACCAATGCGATCTCGAATAACTTTGACATTTACTGAAAACTTATCTAAAACCACAAAGTTGGCCTGGAAACCTAAACAACCTTGATATTTGGCAAAAACCAATATTCATCTTTAATGTCCGAGCATTTTCACTTATACAAACTTACATTTCAAACGTCGACGACACTACTAAAAAACAAAAAGAGTTTACCTTTAACGGAAAAGAAATTTTACACATAAGAGAAGCTTTCAACAACATTCAACAACCAAACATTTTACAATTATTACAGTTACATTGAAATAGAGGTTTCTCGCACCGTTTTCAGAGGAACTTGTTGTTGTTGACGGATCTGCAGAGTTCAAGAGTTCAGAAGTCGAGCGTGTGCCGGGAGTAGAGGTTGTGGCTCCATCGTTCTCCGACTCGGTCGCTACAATAAGAGAAAACTTGCGTTCAGTGCGCGTACTCTTGGAAAATCTTTGAGGCACCGGTTGACGAAAAAACTGTAATGAGCTCGTAAATATTTGTCTGTGGGCGTGTGAATGTTTTGATGGGGGTAGTTTTCTATTTATTGATGCATCTAAGGTGCTAATGGAAGCGAAAAAGAATTAATAGGAGATGTGAAAGTCACAGTTCATCTCAACAGTGCCTTGATGATTATGGAATTCTCCTCCTCATCCGCCTTGAGCCCCCCACCCCCCATCCCCCATCCCCCACCCCCCACCCCCAAATCATCTTATCTTTTTAAAATGAACCCCGAATTCAAAACGACTTGTAAAATTGCGCCTCTCCACAAAATTTCTGCTCCCTGCCCTTACTGCTATCAGATCTTAAAGGGGACGGAATATCAAGCAAAGTTATAGTAGAGAGAGCAGACCTTAAACTCTCTAATATTTAATAATATGTTAGTTGCGCAACGGTTGCTGACGTTTCTCTGTGTAATTAATATTATTGTGAAAGGATTATTGTTTATTCTATGCTGTGCGTGATCCAAAAAAAAATTCATGCAAGCAGAAAAGTACCACTTCTGTCAGTCACAGCCCAAAGAAAGATGAGCCTAGATTTCTCAGATTTTTTTCCTTTGTTCAGTTGATAAGTGTGACGGAAATATTCAGCTTGTAATCGGCTAAAGAAAGCATTAATGCTTGCAACGTGTGAAAGAAATGCAGTAAAAAAAATGCTCTTTATTCTTGCAAATCTTCTGCAGTGTGTTCAGCACGCTTTCCATTGCTATGACACCATACCTTCATTCAAAGATAGGCACTTTTCCAAACATGATGATAACCTTGAGTCCTGAAAATCGAGAGGAAAATATTTAATTTCTTGTCAAACAAGGTGAAGTGACTGGCATAAAATTAGCAAGTGAAATAACGAACAAACACAGGTGACACGATGCAGCTAAGGCCTCTGAATTTTGTTAGGATAGCGGCTACAGCCAAAGAAAATGAGACGGAAAAGAACCCCAGCCGATTGTAAGCGTGGACAATCGGCGGCCAGGATGACAATCCCGGCCAGGATCATTTTTTAGTTGTTTTCTTCGTCAGTTCCGTGCCTTTTTTTTCAATTTGCATCATCTTGCGATCTGAATAATTGTTATTGAGTTTCAGGGCGTCCTATGTCTTGAAAGAACTTGATACGACTTCTATATACATGGTAAAGAGTGTTTATCCTGTCGTCTCGTATTTACACGGCACGCTATTAGACTTGTTATGTACCTCGTAATTTGAGTATCCTCGATGCGAATAATATCAGGAATTAGTGCCCTTCCTTTAACCTCGTTACAGAAAAGGTCCCAGAAAAAGCTATGACATTCTATCAGTTTTAGATGAGAAGGGACCATTCACTGCTGTAAAAACTGAACGATGTCAGAGAAGGGCCAATAAAAAATTCAGTTAGATTTTCTCATATCAGTTAAGCCTTCTGTAACAAGCTGGTGCGGGTAAAACCGACGTGATAAATCAGTTTAATTCAGCTATGTCTGTTATGTGTTGAAACGCCGTATATAAATACATAATATAAAAAAATAAAAAAAAAACACCGGGGAAAGCCCAACTTCCTTTAAAAAACCAATAATTTGAATGATTAACGTAGAATTGTCTCTAAAACCGACTGCAAAATTCTAATTGATCAAACTTGTAAATACGTATGTTCAAAGTCTTTCTTCCTTGTAATGTGGGTTCGTTTTGTGAAGCGCGCCCTTTGAAAATCAACTAATCGAGTCTTTACAATTCAATGAAAATAAAAATGATAATATTGTACAAAATTTTCAAGAATCGATTTTCATTATTTGCCTTTTTTTAACATAGTGTCACCTGATGTCCACTGACTTCGTATCGAGAATTGAAAATTATTAATACCCACGCAAAATGATGAACCCCCTCAATTTAAAGAAAAAATCTTGGAGTGAAAAAACTTACGTGTTCATTCACTGAGGAAGGTTCCGTGGAAACTGAATCCTGACATCTTCGTTCACAATCGTTCAAGCCTCGGTTCGATTCTTCCTTGTGAAAATTAGCGAAGCATTGCGCCCGCGTAATAAAGTAAACCCAAACAACGCTTACCAAAACAGAACGAAAATTTAAGCGCAACATGTTGGATACTTAAGCAAGATTTGCGGATGCCCAGCACTGTTGCAGATCTTCCCACAAAGCGGAGTCTTAATTACACAAACTAGAGGAAGTTTTAAGACTAGATACTAACCGCGTCAGCGTTCCAAGTTATTCAACGCTCGATAAATAAGATTACCATTTATTTTGACACAGGAAGTCGTAACTACATCTTAATGTTATGCGGAACTTCAACTTTATGTCTGCTTTTCATAGTGATAATAGCACGTTTTTGACAGGCCAGAGTGACCTATGGAGGATCAGCACTGCGCTTAAACATGTTTTGAGTTAATCAAAGAGATGATTTTGTTTCAGCAATCTAGGTTGTTTTGTAATCAACTTCGCTCTTCCTGTTGACCTTATTCTGGCGTGTTATCTGAAGCTTATGAAAGACGAGTTTTCGATGACAAAGCCTAAGTAAAGGCGAAATTTCCGCGAAAGCAGGTTTATTTCACGGGCTTAAGAGAGGGGAGCAAGGGAATGGAGCAGTTGGGGGCGAGGATTGAAAAAGTGACAGAGAGAAGAAGCTTTTCAATAACAAGCATTACGGTTTTCAGTCCTTCATTGATATTTGACCCCACATAACCGATGGGTATATCTACTAAGTAGTCGAGTTTTCCAATGAAAGTGATACTGTGGCTTTTGATTTCTCTGAGCCAAAAGCTATCGCCATAAGCTTCTCAAATACTCGTTTCAGTTTCTTCACTTTTGTTTAAACTTTCACGGGTTGAGAGTGATCACATATTGTGCAGCACACTAACCCACCGTGAAGAAAATCAAATTCTCTGTTGTCACGCATCACATCGCCTTTGTCGAGAAGCGACAATTTGCGGCTGCGGATAGCGCTAGGATTGAATCAAAACGAACTCCTCTAGAACGAGTTTGACGCGATGATTGTTTACTGAAGACAGCCATTATTAGACAAAAGCGCGCGCGGGGGGG